CCCGGGAGGAGGGGAGGGGGGGGGGGCAGTGCCTGGGATGCACAGTCCGTGTCTGTCACATCGCTAAATCCGTCCCGAAGACGTTGCCCTGCTGGAATGAAAAGTCACCCTGACTTTGCTGTTTCTCACTTCCCTGTCCTGCTACACCGACTTCTGCTAAAAGCAGCCGGATGACTTTGCCTCCCCGGATACTCCCCAGCTCCTCCAAGGTGCAATTCTAGAAAAGCCAGCTGGGATGAGAAGAGAGCGGATGGGGGAAGAGACGGGCAGGTGGCTGAGAGCGTGGCCATGGAGACAAACATGAGGAGCATCAAAAACACGAGGGTGTGGAGAAGTTGGCTGTGCAGGGAAGCCAGGGGAGCTGGGCAGGGCTGTTCGGATGAGACAGCAGGAACGGGGGTAAAAGAATGAATGTGGATTTTTAGAATGGATGCCCCTTTCAAGTGGTGTCCCCGGCTGTCGCCAGCCCTCTGCGACTGGTGGTCCCCACCCCGGCACAGCCTTTCCAGGGGTGAGCAAACACACTGCTCCCGCTGACCCCTTTTTGGGGGGCTGCACTGACCCGGTGGTCGTGCCCAGAGATGGGGAGCATGGACATGGCTGCTGCTGTTGTCTCTCCTGGGAGCAGGCAGGCAGAGGAAGGTGGCATGGAAATGTCACCCAGGAGCATCTTTCTTAGGAGGAAAGGCTGAGGGACTTGGGTCCTTTTAGTCTAGAGAAAAGAAGATTGAGGGGGGATCTTATCAATGCTTATAAATACTTCAAGGGAGGGTGCCGGAGGGATGGGAACAGTCTTATTTCAGTGGTGCCCAGTGATAGAACAAGAGGTAACAGGCACAAACTTAAACATAGGAAGTTCCATCATAACATGAGGAGGAACTTCTTTACTTTGAGGGTGGCAGAGCACTGGAACAGGCTGCCCAGAGAGGCTGTGGAGTCTCCCACACTGGAGACATTCAAAACCCGCCTGGACGCCGTCCTGTGCAACCTGCTGTAGGTGACCCTGCTCTGGCGGGGGGGTTGGACTAGATGATCTCCAGAGGTCCCTTCCAACCCTGATCATTCGGTGATTCTGTGAGCCTGCCTCACTCTGTCAACCACTTCCCACCCCATCCCACTGGCTCCAGCTCCTGCTCCCTCCCTGCTGCATCTCCACATGGCTGTCCCGGAGTGGGGACCTTCCCTCTGGGAGCAGGGAGAAGGGGACAGGAGATGGCTGGGTGCAATGAGGGGAGCAGTGGGCACACGACTCCCTGAGCACATCACTCCACAGCTCAAAAATTGCCAAGAATACATTTTTGCAGTACGTAATTGCCAGTTTTGAGGAGGCTGTGAAAGGGTTTGTGTTCTCCTGAGGAAATCAAAAGTTGAAATGTTGCGCAGCACTGAAAAAAAGACCAACTCTCTTAATATGTGGTTTGCATAATAATATAGCACGAATTTATGATGCAATTCAGTCGGCTTCCTAAGAGTAACCAGAGTAAAAAAATTGGTCCTTTGGGGTCCTGCTTTGCTCACTCAAAAGCTCTTGTCTCAGAAAGCCTCGAGAGTATTTCATGAGCATTTTTGCAACCCTGGAAAGCTAAAAACAGGGTTGCAACACAGCAGTCCCCAAAATTTGTAAAGAAATAAGAGTCTTGTTGAGACACACTCCAGATGCCTGTGCTGGGTTCAAAGCTGGTGTGAGCCGGCTGGCAGGTAGGTGCGTCAGGACTTTGGGGAGACCCGGGAGGAAAGGGCAGGGAAAAGAGGGCAGGGTCCTGTGGCTGAAGGTGTGCGCTGTGTGAGGCACCAGCCAGTGATGGGTTGCCTCTCTTCAGCCACTGCGAGGTGGCCAGCTTTGCTCATCTGAGTAGGGGAGCGATTGTGGCAGCTCTGGGAGGAGGTGTGGTTGGCACAGCATCCTCTCTTCTACCAACACAGTTGTGGGCTACTGCCCAACTCTGCATGGCCTCACCCAAGGACATTAGGGAGGTGTAAATCCTTCTCCCTACATATCCTGGTCTCATGGGTGAAGGACACACGTGCCATGAAGGCAGCAGCGATATGTTCCCCTGGCTCCAAGGTCCTGGCCAGCATGTGGGTTCCTCTCCTTTCACCATCATGGAAGCCTTTCTGTCTGGTGGGCACAGAGAGGGCTGAGACCTGGCAGTTTTGGGGCCTCCTTGTCCCCACATCAGCTGCAAAAAAACAGGGAAAGGAAAGCAAGGTTCTGAGACACAGCTAGGTCCTGGTGACATCTCCCCAGCTTCCCAGCCAGCAGGATGGGGTCCCTGTGAGGCAGCCTGTGGCTCCATCTAGTGCCCATGCCAGCCCGAGCCGAGCCAGCCCTGCACCCGTTGCTGGGCAGATTGGCCAAATCAGAACCCCTGGCAGCCAGCGAGGGCAACCTGGCTGGGGGCAGCCAGCCCAGGGAGCCCGCTGCCCTCTCCTGGGCTGGTAGGTGAGGAGGGCAATGGCATCCGGGGGAAAAACCCCCAACAACAGGGAATGCTCCAAGCAGTCGCTCAAGGGAACCATCAAGTGCTGTCTGACAGCAGGGGACGGGTCTCCCATCCCTCGGAGAGGAGATGCTCCTCAGCACAGGAGATGCCATTTCACCCATCCCAGTGCTCACCCAGGTGCACCGCCCATTGCTGAGGACGGCTCTTCATGGGGATGGCTGTCTTGAAACCGGTCCCCGAGGAGTGCTGGGAGTGGCCTGTCTCAACGCCCGGGTGTCCCCAGCCTGCTGGGTAAACGCGGCACTGGGAAAGTTTGCCAGTAGGGATTTACAGGAGGTGAGGAGGATATCCCAGCTGCAGTGCAGGGGTGGTGGTGGGGGTGTGAAGTGTCCAAATGCTCTGGCCCTGCAGAGACACCAGGCTCCTTCCTTCTCCCACCCAGCCAGCAAGAGGGACCAGTATGATCTCTACGGCCAGGACAGGTTCATGGGTGCAGGTGAGTGGCCTCGAGTCCGCCCACGACCCTGAGAGATGAGAGCAGCCCCTCTGTGTGGCCACGCCGAGGAGAAGCCCACATCAAAGCTGCCGGTGCCTGGCTGTCCCCTGAGCCCCGGTTATCCGGGCGCCGTGGTCCTCGGGGGTGCCTGGACACCCTGGTCCTCGGGGCAGCTCACTGCTCCCGGCTCCCCCCTGGGTGAGCAGGGCTGGGGAGGGCGCAGGGCTGGCGA